TTCTACCCACTTATTACACATTTATAAAACTCTTAATACATTTAAAACAGGACATCTCCTGTTTTACCCCGTTTTCTTCTTACTTTTAATATTTTTTTACAAATAAAATTAACACCAATATTTTTACATTTTTCTGATTATCATGTTGAAAGTGACATTCATGTGCTAGACAAATAAATGAAATATCAACGGTGCGCACATTTAATTACCCTTCTTAATTTAACCATTTCAGCATATTTTTTAACACACGATTACATAACTTTTACTGTCATGTCGCCCATGAGATTCTTTTTTTTTTTTTTTCATTTTTACCATTTGTTTTTCACATTTGAAACCCAGAACATACTTTCACATATGTGGCTCAGAAACCTAGTTATACCCATTTTTCACAACCTTGTTTTGATTTACATTTTTAAAGCACATATTTTAAACACATCTCTTTACATAATATTTCTTTTCTAAATATTTTTAACACATTTTATACCTTGTATAAATTATAATTTTTCTTTTCCTTTTCATTTTATTGTTACTACATTTGCATGTTATCTTTTCATTTCATGAGAGAATATTATTAGACATACGCCTATATTAACATTATTTTACCCTTTGACCAATTCTACGCGTGTTAAAAATCAGAAAGCGCATATAAACATTACATAAAGACGCATGACTAACTCGGACCCGGAAGTAACATCGACATATACAGGGCTCTAGGAAAAACTTAGTATGTTATAATAAAGAGCGCATTACAATTTGTATCGGGTAGTGAAACTGTGTTTGCTTACCAAAAATTATTTTCCAATTACAGTCATATCCAGGCCACTGCCATTCTATGAAATTCCATATCCCTCAGCTCTGGAAAAAAAACCAAACCAGAAACAATTTTTATACCCATTCTTTGTACACATTTTCTTACAGTTACACAATTTCATACACATTTTTTTGAAACAACTTTTATACATGATTATTCTTTATTAACATTCTTTGACATGTTAAACAGGATTTCTTTCTATTGTTTGCACTTTTTTCAAATCTTACCAGAAACAACTTTTATATATATTCATTATTCACATTTTACACACATTTTTTTTTCAAAACAATTGTTTTTTTAATTTTTTTTTTAATAACACTTAACATGTTAAACAGGATTTCTCCCGTTTACGCTTTTTGAAGCAGTCAACCTGAGGCTGAGAGACCAGATACATTTTAATTCCCTTTTATGATACCTTTTATGATACCCATTTCATACAAATTATTCATACAAATTATTTATACACATTTTTAAACACATTTTTTTCCATATCTATTAAAAAACCTTTGACAACTTTTAATAGGATTTCCACTTTTTCGACTTCTAGAAACAGCCGACTAGAAACAATTTTTATACACATTTTCATACACAGTTTTATACACATTTTTTGAAACTCATTATTTTACATTATTTAAAAAACCTTCTTTGACACATTAAACTAAATATCTATTGTTTGAGACTTTTTCCACACCTTTTTATTTCATTTAATACCCATTATGTCCAACATGGTGAAACATAGCTGACCAGAAACATTTTTATATCCATATTTTATACCAATTTTCATACAATTTTTTTTATACACATTTGTAATTAATATACATCCATGCATTTATATATTTATAAAAAACCTGTTTGACATGCACAAAATACATGTATTAATAATCAGAACGCGAGAGAACTTTTACACGAGTTAGTCAATAAACTAAAAAACAAAGAAAAAGGCCGTGCAGTATGTTATGTCGCGCGACGGGTATACTACATTACACAACACGATAACGAGCGGATATAAAACGGTCAGGTGTCTCAATCATCCACGAAACAATCCTGTTTTACAAATCAAAGAAAAATTAAAAAAAAACAGGAAAATAAACAAAGGGAAAGGTTTTAAATTTAAAAAACAAATTTAAAAAATAAAAATTGTTAAAAAAATCCAAAAAAACCTTTTCCAAGGCCCTTCTTCCAATTTTTTCGCCGTGCGGGCGTTCCCCCCTTAAAATTTGGGCCTGTTCCCGTGCTCAAATAATCCAAAAGTGATCGTAATGTTTTGAGGCCCGGGAAAAAATTTCCCGGAAAGTTTTTGCCCCACTTCGGAAAAAGTTTAAATTCAACTTGACCTTTTTTAAATTTTTGAAAAAAAACAAAAAGATTTAAACCCAAACGTTTTTTTTTGTTAAAATAAATATCTTGGGATGAAACTCAAATCGCAACTTTACGGCCCTTTCCGCCAATCTTCGGATGAGGACTCGGAAATGTATGAATACACAGAACGGATACGGTATTTCGGTCTAACCTACGCTAAGAAACTAAACATGTAAACAAATAGTAATTTACTTTACCTGTGTAATTAATCCCAAAACAATTGCCGTTCTCCAGCATGTAAATCTAAAAACAATCTTTCCGTAACGTTGTAAAATTACATGTATGAAATCCACGATTTTCACGTACATGGACCACCAACTCTCCTTACCAAAAGAGACTAATTATGTTTCCTACTTGAAAACTTTACATAGCCATATCTTTGATAGCTTGCGGATCACATTTGTCTTATGTACTTATGTATTACTGTACATTTAATGGTCATCTTTAAGGAATATTTAGCCTTTTATTTAAATCTCACCATTGTACAATTCATAACATCAATATATTAAAACATATACATTGCACATAGAATTGTAAGAAAGTATTAAGAATTATTTACGGACTATTAAAACATTTTTGCATTAACTCTTTTAAATGAAGGTTCGATATTCCTTGATATTAATCGTGTTACCACTTTATTGCATTACCAGGTTGAAATGATAGTAATTAATGCATTGGTTATAAAAAAGAAAAGACAAATCCTATCACCATCTAGTGGCAATTTGATCCCGGCCGTGAAAAATAGACCTGTCTATGAGCAGACCTGGGATATACGATAACTTATCGTATGTCCCAGAGCAGACAAAGAAAACATTAAAATTAATCAGAAATCATAAATGAAAAAAAAGTGAACGATTTTCATAATACCACTGTCATAAAAATATGGAGACAATTTTTTTTAAACAAGATACATGCACTTTGCAATTATTCCAATATCCCTATAAATAAAAAATAATGGAGAGCATATCAAAGTTAATACACATATAAGATTTGTTTAACCGCGTCATTTCTAAAAACATTAATAATCTGAGGGGTTCTTCTAGAATTAATTAAGTTAACTATATTTCAAAAGGGGTCGTCGCTTCATCTTCATATCTATGAAACTATATATAAATGTAACTATAGCATATTTATAACAACATTTTAAATCTATCTTAAACGCTCTAGAAAATTTTCAGTACATACAAATTGTACCAAAAATACAAATTGTAAAAACATTGCAAAAATATGTCCTTTTAAACCATTTATGATTCAAATGACGTTCGTTTGACATGCGCTGTGCATTTGAAACCGCAGCCACTACCTTAAGAGCTTAAGAGTATATGAATCTTACACCGGCTGCCGGTACAGACCGGAATATCTAGCTCGAGGGTGACTGTTTACGGCGGTAACGAGGCTGTGCCGAGTTACCGCTAAACAGTTACCCGAGAGCTAGATATTCCCGTCTGCACCGACAGCCAATGTTTGAGTCTTTTTCTTGCATATTACATATCACAAAAATTACGAAAACTGATATTTTCATTACGCACTTTTTTCTTATAGTAGCGTATGAACTTACAACTTCATTCATATTAATAATCTAAAACTGTACACAGATCTTTAAAAAAAAACCTCGAGGCATCACGGCTTTAAAAAGGGATTCAGGCTCCAGTTAACAATTTTAACTCTCATATTCATTAAATTTAAGATACGAAAGTTTTTGGATATTATGGAAAAAGTCCATCAAGTCATAATTTCAGGGATAGGTCGAGCGTTTAACTCTTTATTGAGCCATACATCTGCAGAATTGGCCTGGGCTTTTCGGTCTCTGCTATTTCTATACATGTAGATTCTATTGTATCTTTTTTGTACGTTGTTTTTTTTTTTTTTTTTGCTTTTGGAGTAATACGCGTTTGTGCCCTAATATGGACGTCCTTATATTATTAGTTATAAAGATCGTTGATTATTAGTTATAAAGATCGTTGATTATTAGTTATAAAGATCGTTAACCCGAGCCGCCAGGCGAGGGTTATATTGCAAATAGCCGTTTATACGGCCATATAACCTGTCAACAATCTTTACAACGAATTTATAATACAGCACGCATCATTTTTTAGTGAAAAAAAGTAAGATTTCTTCATAAATCGACAGCAGCCGTGTATATAAAATTATATTTAAACGTCACGATTATCCAATGAAAAGCGACGTTACAAACGTGCAGTATTATAAATATTAATTGCTTGATTCACAAGTTAAATATATCTATATGTACTTTTAAAAAGAAGTAAACCCTCATTTATTTTATTTATTTATTTATTTATTTATTTATTTATTTATTTATTTATTTATTTATTTATTTACAGGGCTTCCATTAAGGAAAGTTTGGGAGTCATTTAATCCTTGATTTTGGCTTGTGACTTCAAGAATCTAATACTTTTCCTTCTTTGCCTATATAACGTGACTTCCAATATCAGAGATTTTACAGTGTCTGACTTCCAAATTTTGAAACTTAGTGGAAGCCCTGTATTTATCTATCTATTGAAAAAAAAAACAATAAATGTTGTCATCAAGGTACTTCTGAATTTACTCAAAACAGACGTTTCCATACACGCTAGTACTTAAATTCTGAAAATATCTAATAAAAAATATCTAACTTTTTCTCTCATAATGGAAATAATTTCCCATGTTTCATAGGAGAGGTATATGTAATGTATTATATTGTTGTTGTTTTTTATTATTGTGGAATTAAAGAGAAAAAGGGAGGTGACTTGAATAACCTTCAAATACTGTATCCATAAAACCACGGATTTATATGTAATATAAATCCGTGAAAAAACTAATGAAAGTCTGTCTTACTGCGACTTTTCCGTTTATCACATCTAAAGCTCAGTGCGAAAAAATGTGGTAACGAAACAATATGTGCACGAAACGGATATGATTTTTTTTGGGATGTTGACAAGTCGAATGTTGACATAAATTGCTTCTTGTAAGTATTCTTGACGATCTCTTGTAGGATGCCATCATATAAATATGTGTCTTTATTTTGTGTGCGTATTTTTGTTCTGTCATTTTGCAATAGTTATATTTAGTCATGGATCAATGGATAAGTAGGTGTTACCGTCTAGTAAAGTTTCGGATAAAGAAGAACTGCCTGCAAGTTTAACTTTTAGGCCGTAGGTAGTTTAAAGAAATAATTATTTTTGATAAAATTGAAATGTTTATTATTTTGTTTGCTAATTAGTCATAGTTTAAGTTACTGACAGAAGAGATTACTATTACAACTAATACAAACTGATGACAAATGTAGGTGTGTCATAATTTTTGTTAGTTTCTCATTTAATGGCCACGGCCCAGGCACGATTAATAACATTTGTTTTCTTTTTTGGTCAGTTTGTATCCTGCACTAACATGTTCTTTTCTTTAATTTATTTTATATTAATGTAAAACCACTCATATGTCAAATCTTAGACTCGTACGGAACAAGCAATAATGAGTGGTCCTATATCACAGCAAGATAAGTGCATATATGTATTGTATTGGACAATGTTCAGATATTGAAATTTGTATACTGATTTAACATAACATGAAATGGAGCAGCAATCAGTATTCACTATCCAAACATAAGGTTTACTGTTAAATCTATGTATGAAAAAATGAACTAAATTACATACTGCCGTTAACTTATATCTAAATCGAATACATTATACTAATGTAGACAGTGTAGCTGTCCCTGTAATCTCAATAGTGTTTGACTGTAACTCTCATTTTAATTGATTCTTTATACAGTCATTTGCACTGTACCTCTGCTCTGGCATGTACAGAAGTTATCAGTTCCTCTGCAATTAAGTGAAGGTAACTTGTAGTCAGTATTACTGGTAAACAGTTTGACAGCTTACCCTGTGAGGCTTGATGCAGTGGCTAATCTGTGCTCTGGTTAATTTAATGTGACTCCCTGTCGTGATCTGGAGGGTAAACAACCAACACAACCACCACCTAATGTAGACAGCGTAAAACTTACTATGTTTGAATTACAATGTACATGTACCTTCAGCTGTCTTGAAACAACACTTTCATTGATAGCTTTAACTAATAATGGCACCTGTAAATAATGCTGAGGTCAAAGGGCATTTCAGCTGTAGCTGATTGGAACCCACAACCTCACCTGCAAATAAAGATTTTTTTTTTTTACTTTTACTGCTTCCCTCCTCCACTCAGTGAAGCTTGATAACCACTATTTTTGTTGAAAATTCGGGTCAAGAGTAATTTCTTGGACTCATTTTGATAGCGTCCACTTCAAGGGTCAGTTCTTGCAAGAATTTATTTATGACTAATTCACTAAGTGTATTGGCTAAATGCAGTTATCAATTGTATAATACCGATAGAAATTATGTACTGGATGCTTGTTTTATTTGTGATATCCCAACAAAGGATCAAATCAGTGACCCCTTGGTTATGAGACAAATAACTTTTAACTCTTTGGGTTAAAGATATCAATTTCTTAGGTAAAGTTGATAATTTTATGCATTTATTGATAAAAAGTTTCTTTTTATCTCTTTTAATGCTCCATATGAAGCACAAATTTAAAAATGTTCTCTTTTTGTTTGTTTTAGTGCTCCATATGAAGCGAAAATATAGAGGACACCTATGTTGTACAGAGCCAATAAGATACTAAATTCCTTTTAGTAAAAAGTCAAGAAAGTGTTCCAATGGCTCAACCAAGCAGCACACAGCTACAGTACTATAGACATGACTATGCTAAAGTTTGCATGACAGGACTTCTCGGATGCCGCTGGCACAGGTACAAGCAGTCTACCAATGGTTCCAGGAAGGTGAGTTCCCAGTACTGTCCTTGAACTGAATCAATCAAATCAAACCTGCAACATTTGCAATTTTGCCATTTTGAACTTTCTTTAAATTAGGGATTCTATGTTTCTCTATTTTGTGATTATGTTGCTTTGCAATTTTTTTTAAGAAACTGAAATTGTTATAAATTAGAACTATTCTAATAACAACTTAACTTGAATCTTGGACAAAATATAACAGGACAAGCTAGATAAGTGGTCTTATCTTCGCGTCAAATTTACCGCAGCCCGATTGACCAATTAGTGTTGTGTGTCAATCACATATAAATAGTGTTATAAAAATCATTACAATGATAAATTTTTCATAAAATGTTAAGAATTAAGACACTTTGAATACAAAAGGGCTGTTAAAATTTAAACACCAGTTGTCCTATATATTTCCCTTATTTCACAGTTTAACTAAGGAGAAAAATATACCCTTTGAAAACGATTGACAAGACAAAATGGCGATAAGTGTGCCTGATTTGTTGAAAACATAACATTATGCTAATTTTCAATTGTTTAACCCATTATATTATGTCCCAATTCAGTGTTTTTTTTTCTTTATATAACTACTACCTTAAAACGGCACTGTTCACAATAGTAAATAGACATTAAAATTCCCAATTTCCAATGTTTAAATTCCCAAAATGGCTGTTAAAAATTTTCACAAGGCCAAGTTATTTCTCTGAAATCATTTAAATCCAACATATTCATTCAAATCATCACTCAATAGTTCTACCTGGACAGTGGCAGCTGTTACCTATCTTTATTCATGATGACTTATCTTATTTGTAGCTGAAAAAATGCATTAAAAAAATTCCCAATTTAAGTAAAAATAACGCATTTTTTCCCAATCAGTCTGGTATCGGCACCATTCCCAAAGAAGAAAAAAAACGCTGCAACTTGAATACATTATGTAACATAGGTGTTGTTAAGGACAATTTTATTGTGTTTTAGACAGAAGTGGCAAGATAATAAATAATGATATTTGCAATGATCTTTTAACACTTTCAGAGAGATGTGGCATATTTTGTATTCTGTTTACTGGTGTCCATGTATGTGATATTCTGGTTCTATTATTTGTTGATAGCTGATAATGATAAACAGAGTATGAATGTGTAAGTGTGATCTTTTTTATCAACACGAGTCAGTGTAATCTTTATTTATCAGTATGAATCTGTAAGCAGGATCTTTTTTATCAGTATTAATCAATGTGATCTTTTTTATCGGTATTGAGTTATTACCCTTTATTAATTTTCATACTTTATTTTTGTCCAGGCCATTTCTCATAAATTATAAAAGCTATAGACTTGAAACTTCATAGGATGATAGATCTTATTGATAAGAAGTGCAGTGCACAGAAACTGCTGCTCTGCATTTCTTGTTTTTTGAGTCATTGCCCTTTGTTAATTTTTATATTTCATTTTTGTCCTGGCCATTTCTCCTAAACTATATTGTTCACAAGGCGACACATCCGACTCGCGGAGTTCTAGTTTATCAATATGTGTCATTAAGTGTGATGTTATTTTATAAGTATAAGTTTGAAAATTTATGAAGAAAAAAGAATACTTACAGCAGTGTTTCTCTCCGAAACAAGTTGACAGTGTTACAGCAAGTGAATCATGTATATAAAAAACAACAACATAAGGTATCTAAATCCTGTATATGTTTATACTATATTTCAGATTTATGTATGAAAGAACACAAAGTAGATTTGATTGGTTCCTCCTAGCTCTTGTGATATTTTCTGTGTTGTTTTCATATGTTGTTTTACTGTTGGTAAGTACATGTAGTTTTACTGTTGGTTAAGTAGTCTTACAAAATTATATCAAAGCAGAATGAAGCTGACTTTATTTGTCCTTTTTTAGCTCACCTGTCACAAAGTGACAGGGTGAGCTTTTGTGATCGCTTTTCGTCCGGCGTCCGTCCGTCCGTCGTCCGTCCGTCGTCCGTCCGTCCGTCCGTCCGTCTGTAAACTTTTGCTTTAAATGACATCTCCTCATAAACCACTGAGCCAATTTCATCCAAACTTCACAGGAATGTTCCTTTGGTGGTCACCTTTAAAAATTGTTCAAAGAATTTAATTCCATGCAGAACTCTGGTTGCCATGGCAACCGAAAGAAAAATCTTTAAATATCTTCTTTTAAACAACCCTAAGAGCTAGAGCTTAGATATTTGGCATGAAACATCTTCTAGTGAGGTGTCTACCAAGTTTTGTTCAAATAAAAGCCCTGGGGTCAAAATTGGCCCCGCCCAGGGGGTCATTGATTTTCCCTATATGCATATAGTAAAAAACTTAAAAAAGTCTTCTTTTAAAGAACCCAAAGAGCTAGAGCTAAGATATTTGGCATGAAACATCTTCTAGTGAGTGTCTACCAAGTTTGTTCAAATAAAAGCCCTTGGGTCAAAATTGACCCCGCCCCGGGGGGTCATTGATTTTCCCTATATGCATATAGTAAAAAGTTTAAAAATCTTCTTTTAAAGAACCCAAAGAGCTAGAGCTAAGGTATTTAGCATGAAACATCTTCTAATGAGTGTCTACCAAGTTTGTTCAAATAAAAGCCCTGGGGTCAAAATTGGCCCCGCCCCAGGGGGTCATTGATTTTCCCTATATGCATATAGTAAAAACTTAAAAAATCTTCATTTAAAGAACTCAAAGAGCTAGAGCTAAGATATTTAGCATGAAACATGTTCTAATGGGTGTCTACCAAGTATGTTCACATAAAAGCCCTGGGGTCAAAACTGGCCACGCCCAGGGGGGGGGGTCATTGATTTTCCTTATATGTGTATAGCAAAAACTTAAAAATCTTCTTTGAAAAAACCCAAATAGCTAGAGTTTAGATAATAAGCATGAAACATCTTTTAGTAAATATCTACAGAGTTTGTTCAAATAAAAGCCCGGGGGTCAAAACTGGCCCTGCCCCAGGGGTGTCATTGTTTTTAACTATATGTGTATAGTAAAAACTTTAAAAATCTTCTTTTAAAAAACCCAATGAGCTAGAACTTAGATGGGGGGGGGGGGGGGGGTGCCTATATACAGGTGAGCGACCTCAGGGCCATCATGGCCCTCTTGTTTTAACTACAGTGTCCGAAAACATTTGATTATACAAAATAGTGGCGTTTGTGGCTGAGTGAATAGTCTTTCACTTCAAACCGATTGCCCCTTACAGCTGTGGGTTCAAATCACAGAGGGGCACCCGAGGTCCTCCATCAGTAAAGCTGGTAAAACACCATATGACTTTGATTGTTGGTGCAAAGTAAAAATCTTTCAATAAACACAAAGGAATTTGAACAACCATGTATCTTTTTAGTTGTTGTTTTTTTATGCCCCCGGGCATATAGTAATTGAACCGTCCGTCCGTCCGTCTGTCTGTACGAGGTTAACCTAGAACAGCAAGTTGGAAATATCTTAAGTTCTATCTATACTAATGGCTTTATAATTTCCACACTTACTTATCAATACAAAGTACATGATATTGCCAAGTTATATAACTGTGTTATCCATATTTCCCAGTTATTTCCCTTTTTTCACTTTGAAAATAGGACCTTGTCTGGTTGACCTATTTCGGCAAGTTGGATTTATCTTAAATTTCTCCTAATTGCTTAATTTCTTTAATGATATCTTTCATATTTAGTAGGTGGATACCTTTGATGGTTAAGGTCGTTGACTTCAAACCACTTGCCCCTCACCGCTGTGGGTTCGAATCCCGATAGGGACTTTGGATTCTTTCATGTGAGGAAGCTATCCAGCTAGCTTACGGAACGTCGGTGGTTCTACTCAGGTGCCCGTTCGTGCCTGAAATAATGCACGGAAGGGCACCTAAGGTCTTCCTCCACCAGTAAAGCTGGAATGTCGAGATATGACCTATACTGTGTCGATGTGACGTAAAACCCAAAAACAAACAAACAAAACCTTTGATGGTCCTCTAATTTTTTGTGGAGTAAGCGGTCTCTACGGTCAAGGTCACTGGTTTAAAAAATAAATATAAACCTTTTTGCTCATACAGCCTTTATTTTTTAGTTGATGTCTTAGTTTAATACAAACATGCCAAGGGAGGTCCTTCTTCTTTAGGATTTGTAAGGGGTCATTTGGGTCAAGGTCAATGTTACCAATGTCAAGGTTACCAATGATAAAAATGGATTTTTACATTTTTACAGGTGTATTGACCTTATTTTATAAACAGATGTTATTTATAATTGATAAAAACATAAACTTTGATGGAGTTAGTGGTCAGTTGGGTCAAGGTCACCAGTGCTAAAAATAGATTTTTACACATTTGCTCATACAGCCTTTATTAAGTGACAGATATATTTTATATTTGGTAGGAAGATAACTTGCATGGCATTCATCCTTTTGATTGGGGTAGGGATCAGTGGGTCAAGGTCACTTGTGCTAAAAATAGATTTTTACACTTTTGCCCATACAGCCTTTATATATTGACAGATGCATTTCATATTTGGTAGGAAAATAACTTGCATGGTATTCTTCCTTTGGATGGAGTAAATGGTCAGTTGGGTCAAGGTCACCAGTGCTAAAAATAGATTTTTACACTTTTGCCCATACAGCCTTTATTTATTGACAGATGTATTTCCTATTTGGTAGGAAGATAACTTACATGGTATTCTTCTTTTGAATAGAGTTAGGGGTCAGTTTGGTCAAGGTTTACCAGTGCTCAAAATTGATTTTTACACTTTTGCCCATACAGCCTTTAATTAATGACAGATGTAATATTTTTCAACTTCACAAGTCAGAGCAATGACTTGGCAACTTATATTTTTCACAATTACAAAATGCCATGACTTTGTCAAGCTATATAACTTGTGTTTACAATTTTTTGGCAATTTTTCTGTCCATAACTGAGTGAATGGGTAGACATTTTTTGAAATATTGCTACTGACAAGAATCTGAGGGGGGGGGGGGCATTTGTGTTTACAAACTTACAAACACGTTCTTGTTTTTTTTTTTTGTTGTTTTTTTTTGTACCAGAATAAGTTAAAGCTAACGTCATACATACCATCACCTTAGTGCAATAACTAATTAACTCCAATTCAATTAGAAGAACTTATTCCATTACTGCACTATGGTCACTACATGTATATTAAGTTTCTGTCCAGCTATTTGCTGGTGACATTCTGTATAAATGTTCTTGGATTTGATCAGTCCAAGATAAAAGATACATTACTTTAGATGACTTTACTAATACTATATGTTCATGTTAGAACTTAGAAACACATATTTGATTGTTTGATATTTTAATTACTTGTTGTTTTTTTTCCAGTTGCTCAGTCTGTGCCATATAATACAAGGGCATCAACTTTACACACACCCTGTACACCTGGCTATAATGCTAGTGTTATTATTAGCATGTATAGCAATAACTATTGTCCTGCAGGAAATGTGGGTAGAGGAATGGTCTGTGATAGCTTTATCCTTTCAGGTATTTATCTCCTGCATTTATATTCCAAGTATTCATTATAAAAGTCCAATAAAACAAATTTATCGTTCCTAAAGTGTATATTTAAAGGACAATAGAAATATTAGAATTTTTAGGCTTGGTGGTCCTTTAAACCAATATTCAAGTTAAAAGCTTTAAAAACTCAAATAGATTTATACCAGTAAATATTTTGTCTGGGTCAAGTTACTTATACTATGATATATTAAGTATATCTGGTTGTTTTGACTCGATATAGATTATATCTAGGGATTTTTTCCAGGATTTTGGAAACATGACCCATACCTATGGAATTGGGAATTTCAGCGATATTTTGTGAAAAATTGGGAAAAAATGCATAACTGAAATTTTGCAGTGATTAAATGAATGCAAACAATCACTGTTTTAGGATGGTATCTTCAAACATTTAAGCACTATTACAGAGAAGGAGCCCTTATTTTCAAAGATTTTAGAACTCTTTATTCAATATTTTTATTTTGTAACTTTCAAATTGGAATATTTTCCTGTGGATTGGGAAAATAATATACTATTTTCAATTGGGAATATGACCCAACGACGGATATAAAATAAGCAAAAAAAGAATCCCTGATACCAGACTAGGACAGTGAGATTTTGCAATCTTTATACCTGAATATAAATTATTGAAAATTTTCCTCATCAAAATCAGATAAACATTATATATAATAGAAATGATATTTATTTATTACATTCACAATATTTGTGAAAATTGAATTAAAGTTATCATTGTGTGTAATAACAATGGAATATCATTGTACATTCTACTGGGAACTTGATTATGTAAGTTTGTATTCAGAATTCTATTAAAGTTCCATCATGCAAATATATGATGGGGGTTAATTCAAGCTCTTGATATGTCTTGTGGCTTTGTTTATATAACTGGGTAAAGTGTGTCTGCTGGGACATATTTCAGTGAAGAATGGCTGTAAACTTAGGCATTTTGCTTCACAACAAAAGTATACTCAGTTACCATTCACATTTTAAGGTTGTTGACAAAAATGCTAAAATCTGTTGAAAAACAGTTAATAATTGTTACCAAGCAACTGTATTTATCAATGCTCCCGGTGTGGTAAGTAAACAATTTTTTTTTCAAAATAAGTGTAAGGAACAACACTGTCCGTTGGTATTTCCAAGTCAGCTTCGGAAGAGACTATTTATTTATAAGACTGTTTTTGGTGAAGTGTAAATGACCTCCAGTGTAAATACCATATCTTTATTTGTCTACGACAACTCAGTTTTTATTTTTTCTTTTCCCCCGCTGTGGACTTACACTTGTTGAATGTTACTGAATAAAATAGTAAACAATTGTAAACACATACATCATACATGTAATTCAACTGCCTGGCTATAATGATATTTAACAAGACTCAGTTCATGTATTTAATATATATATAAATCTTTTAAACAATATTTTCTATAATCTTAGGCCTAGGACTTAATTTTTTTAGCCATGTTTTGTGCATTGACTGAATAGCGCGATCAGTGCAGACCATAATCAGACAGCATGGAGGTGTTGGCTAATCTTGGTCCGTACTGGTTGTATGGGTTGCATGAATCTGTTGCAGATTAAGGGTTAATTAAGGACCCTTTATTATTGGCTATAATTTTGTCTAATACTTGAAATTATATTCTTAATAAATTACCCTAAAGGGACTCAGCTGAGGTTAAGAAGCCAAAAAAACATAAAGTTTGAAATTTTTAACCAGGTCAAGTGAAGCATTTAAAATGGAAAAATCTGCAAAGGATTATGAAGGAATATACTCAGAATTTAGAATTGATAACTAGTGTAATACTTGGCTCAGTTTCGATGAAAACCTTTGCATTGCTTTTCATTTTTTGCTCATTTTTCACAACTATATAATAACCTGGAAAAACTTGAGTTGATGGAATGATCTAAAAGTTTGCAAACAAGTTATTTGTTCAGATGTACATCAAATGGTACACAAAATTTGGGAAAATACCTCCAGTCCCGTCATGTCAAAAAACCTCAGTGAAGTCCCTTTAAATTTTTACTGAACGTTTTAGATTTAAAGCTGAACAACTCTTCTATAAAAATTAATCAGCACTAGGTGTTAAAAGAAATCTCAAACATTTGCCTGCATGTGTTTTATTTACATTGCCACTTTATTTTTAGAAATCTCACACATGAATGAAGGACAGTTACTCGTATTGTCAGTCATTCAAATTTAACGTAGTAAGATGTACATGTATGTTTTACAATACAAGAAGCAGGCTATTATTTTGTAACAAAATGGTAAAATAAAAGGAATTAAGTATGAAAAACACCCATATGTTGTAAAGATTTTTATTTTACCTATATACATAATGTACATGTACGCAGTAAATGACTTATCGGGCTGTTAATTTGAAACTGTCAGCATGTATTGTTGTTTGTTATACTGGTGGGATAGGCAGCTTATTATCACTGTTTACATGTACATCCATCCTCAGTTTTGAAAATATCCATTCTTATAAGTTTTCTAAATAAAATGAAAATGAAGCTTCCATTCACTTTTTGAACATTTTTTGATGATGATATTCCCTCTATTAAATGTAAACTGATTTATTCACTGTTTTAGATGTTAAGAATTCAATTTAAACTAATTTTTCACTATGTCAGGTGTTTGGAATTCAATTTAAACTAATTTTTCACTATTTCAGATGTTTGGTATTCAATTTAAACTGATTTCATCACTATTTTAGGTCTTAGGAATTCAATTTAAATTGATTTGTTCACTATTTCAAATATTTTTAATCCGATTTAAACTGAATCGTTTACTAATACAGGTGTTTGGACTTTCATTTAAACTGATTTGTCAGCTATTTCAGATGTTTGGAATTCATGATTAGTTCCCTATTTCTGGTGTGTGAAATTCAGTTGAAACTGATTTGTTCACTATTTCAAGTGTTTGGACTTCAGTTCAAAGTGATTTGTTCACTATTTCAGATGTTTTATTTTCAGTTTAAACTGATTTGTTGACTATTTCAGATGTTTGATATTCATTTTTAACTGATTTGTTCACTATTTCAGATGTTTTTTATTCATTTTTAACTGATTTGTTCACTATTTCAGATGTTTTATATTCATTTTTAGCTCACCTGAGCATATGCTCAGGGTGAGCTATTAGGATCACTCTTCGTCCGTCGTACGTTGTCCGTTCACACTTTTCAAACGACATCTCCTCTGAAACCATAAGGCAGATCATAATGAAACTTCACAGGGATGTTCGATGTGTGAAGCCTTAACAAAGTTGTTCAAAGAATTCCATTCCATGCAGAACTCTGGTTGCCATGGCAACCAAAATAAAAAACTTTAAACATCTTCTTCTAGAAAACCCAAAGAGCTAGAGCTTAGGTATTTGGTATGAAACATCTTCTAGTGAGTGTCTACCAAGATTGTTCAAATAAAAGCCCTGGGGTCAAAATTGGCCCCGCCCCAGCGGGTCATTGATTTTCCTTATATGCATTTAGTAAAAACTTAAAAAAATCTTCTTTTAAAGAACCCAAAGAGCTAGACCTAAGATATTAAGCATGAAACATCTTCTAATGAGTGTCTACCAAGATTATTCAAATAAAAGCCCTGGTGTCAAAATTGGCCCCGCCCCAGGGGGTCATTGATTTTCCTTATATGCATTTAGTAAAAACTTAAAAAAATCTTCTTCTTAAAAACCCAAAGAGCTAGAGCTTAGATATTTGGCATTAAACATGTTCTAATGGATGTCTACCAAGTTTGTTCAAATAAAAGCCCTGGGGTCAAAATTGGCCCCGCCCCAGGGGGTCATTGATTTTCCCTATATGCATATAGTAAAAACTTAAAAAAATCTTCTTTTAAAGAACCCAAAGAGCTAGACCTAAGATATTAAGCATGAAACATCTTCTAATAAGTGTCTACCAAGATTGTACAAATAAAAGCCCTGGGGTCAAAATTGGCCCCGCCCCAGGGGGTCATTGATTTTCCCTATATGCATATAGTAAAAACTTAAAAAAATCTTCTTCTAAAAAACCCAAAGAGCTAGAGCCAAGATATTAAGCATGAAACATCTTCTTATCAGTGTCTACCAAGTTTGTTCAAATAAAAGCCCTGGGGTCAAAATTGGCCCTGCCCCAGGGGGTCATTGATTTTCCCTATATGCATATAGTAAAAAACTTAAAAAAATCTTCTCTTAAAGAACCCAAAGAGCTAGAGCCAAGATATTAAGCATGAAACATCTTCTTATCAGTGTCTACCAAGTTTGTTCAAATAAAAGCCCTGGGGTCAAAATTGGCCCTGCCCCAGGGGGTCATTGATTTTCCCTATATGCATATAGTAAAAACTTAAAAAAATCTTCTCTTAAAGAACCCAAAGAGCTAGAGCCAAGATATTAAGCATGAAACATCTTCTTATCAGTGTCTACCAAGTTTGTTCAAATAAAAGCCCTGGGGTCAAAATTGGCCCTGCCCCAGGGGGTCATTGATTTTCCCTATATGCATATTGTAAAAACTTTAAAAAAATTCTTTTAAAGAACCCAAAGAGCTAGAGCTAAGATATTTAGCATGAAACATGTTCTAATGGGTGTCTACCAAATTTGTTCAAATAAAAGCCCTGGGGTCAAAATTGGCCCTGTCCCAGGGGTCATTGATTTTCCCTATATACATAGAGTAAAAAGTTAAAATTCTTCTATTAAAGAACCAAAAGAGCTAGAGCTAAGATATTTAGCATGAAACATGTTCTAATGGATGTTTACCAAGTTTGTTCAAATAAAAGCCCTTGGGTCAAAATTGGCCCTGCCAGGGAGAGGGGGGGGGGGCAAAAGTCATTGTTATTCATTATTTGTGTATAGTAAAAACTTAACATCATGAAATATCTTCTAATGGGTGTCTTCCAAGTTTGTTCAAATAAAAGCCCTTTGGTTTAAACTGGCCGGGCCCTGGGGGCCTATGTTCAGGTGAGCGACCCCAGGGCCATCATGGCCCTCTTGTTAACTGATTTGTTCACTATTTCAGATGTTTTATATTCATTTTTATCTGATTTGTTCACTATTTCAGATGTTTGATATTCAGTTTAAACTGATTTGTTGACTATTTCAGATGTTTTATTTTCAGTTTAAACTGATTTGTTCACTATTTCAGATGTTTGATATTCAGTTTAAACTGATTTGTTCACTATTTCAAGTGTTTGGAATTCAATTTAAACTTGTTCTGTTCACTATTTCAGGTGTTTGGTCCATTTTTACATCTTGGTGCTGTTGGTTTCATGACTCTTCTTTCTTGGGTGATCACCAGTAAATGGTTTAAACTTATAAAAATTGGTAGGTTGTCTAGAAAAATTTTAAAATGTTATATATGTTTCATAAGCTTAGTGAATCATTTTTTTTCTTTATTCTAAAGCCTCAATACAAAGTCTTTGTAGTATTCATCAAATGATTTTAATCATTTTGTACTTTGGGGGGGAGAAATTTTATTGAATTGAATGACTCGTTTTCTGGTTCGGGGCATTTAAGTGGGGTTTTTACTATTTTGATTATTAACCAGGTTTTCCGAAGGAAAAAACTGGTTATTAGATTGAGGTATGTCGGCGGGCGGACGGGCGGGCGTAAACAATTTCTTCTGTGCACAACTCCTTCTACATTTCTCAACGAATTTTGACCACACTTTCACAGAAGCTTTGTCGGGGTTTTGCGATTGGATAATATTTGACCTAATTATGGCCCTTTGTTTTTTTTCCTTATATAGAATATATAGTGAACAATTTCTTCTGTGCGCAACATCTCCTACATGTCTCAACGGATTTTAAAAAAATATTCACAGAAACTTTGTCATCAAGTGCCCTAGGGCATATTGTCGGGGTTTTGCGATTGCATAATATTTGACCTAATTATGGCCCTTTTTTTTTTCCTTATAAAGAATATATAGTGAACAATTTTTTCTGTGCGCAACTTCTCCTACATTTCTCAACGGATTTGTACCAAACTTTTACAGAAGCTTTGTCATCAAGTACCCTGGGGCATAATGTCGGGGTTTTGCGATTGGATAATATTTGACCTAATTATTGCCCCTTGTTTTTTATACCCCCAAAAACGAAGTTTGGGGGGGTATATAGGAGTCACCCGGTGGTCGGTCGGTTGGTCGGTCAAGCGGTCCGTTGCATTTTCCTTGTCCGGAGCATAACTTGAAGACTAATGGTTGGAATTCAATATAACTTCATACAATGGTCAAGCACATTGAGAGGAAGTGCAGTGCACAAGAACCATAACTCCATCTTGACTAATTACAGAGTTATTGCCCTTTGTTACTTTTCCTTGTCCGGAGCATAACTTGAAAACTATTGTTTGGAATTCAATACAACTTCATACAGTTGTCAAGGACATTAAAAGGAAGTGCATTGCACAAGAACCATAACTTGAAAACTACTGGTTGAAACTCGAAACAACTTCATACAATTGTCAAGCACAATAAGGGGAAGTGCAGTGCACAAGAACCATAACTCTATCTAAAGTAATTACAGAGTTATTACCCTTTGTTATTTTTCCATTGCTTTCTTTTGTCCGGACTATAACTTGAAGACTAATATTTGGAATTCAATATAACTTCATACAATGGTCAAACACATTGAGAGGAAGTGCAGTGCATTAGAACCATAACTCCATTTTGACTAATTACAGAGTTACTGCCCTTTGTTACATTTCCTTGTCCAGAGCATAACTTGATAACTACTGGTTGGAATTCAAAACAACTTCATACAATGGCCAAGCACAATAAGGGGAAGTGCCATGCACAAGAACCATAATTCCATTTTGACTAATTACAGAGTTATTGCCCTTTGTTACTTTTCCTTGTCCGGGCATAACTTGAAAACTACTGGTTGAAACTTGAAAACTACTGGTTGAAACTCGAAAAAACTTCATACAATTGTCAAGCACAATAAGGGGAAGTGCAGTGCACAAGAACCATAACTCTATCTAAAGTAATTACAGAGTTATTGCCCTTTGATATTTTTCAATTGCTTTCTTTTGTCCGGACTATAACTTGAAGACTAAAAGTTGGAATTCAATATAACTTCATACTGTAACGTACTTTTGCCGCAGTGTCAGGATAGCTGTTTCAAAAATACGCCACAAGTTCTACTGTATAAACATATATGCTAACCTAGCATCAGTTATATACAGCACCCGGTTTCAATGTTATATAAGTAGACTCTTTTCTTTAGGATTTCCGGAATAAATAATACAACGCTTTCATCAAGTTTCAATTCTTTGGTTTAATAGTGTATACATAGTTTTGTATACATAAACTGCATATATATTCTAACATTTAATATATCTTATCATCAATATACAGAAATAAGGTTCGGCATCATTTCATAAGGCGCTATGTTAAGTGATTTTATGATTTCCTAAAATATAAGTCAACAACGCTTTTATCAAGTTTGGATTCTTTGGTCTAATATCCGTTTAATTTAGGATTAAAAGTTATAACATGAAGTACGTCAGCTCTCATTCAGGAAAAGTTGCTTAATAAAAGTTTAATACATATTCCAATGTGATTTAGTAGTCTTTCCTAAATAGAAACTTACTAAAATTTAGTTTTGATGTTTTCTGCTCAGTTTTGAATTATCGCGCCTAAGCAACTTTAGTGGGCGTTGTTGTTCCAAAATGAGGACTGTCGCTCTATTTATAACCTTTGAGCCGTTTAGGAATTCAGGATAGGATTCCCGACCAATCAGATTGCACTTAGGATTTATCTAAGCCAATCAGAATCGGTTAGGAATTCCCATCCTAAAATGTAAAGATCTCAACAGATCATAATTACAAAATACAAAGTAAACATTTAAAATTGTAAGTAATCATTATGTTGAGAAATAACACTTGCGCTAATTAAATACATCTCAATTAAATACTTATGGTAATTTAGCAGGATTATTACAATTTAAAGAGAATTAGGGTGATTCCACAACCCAACTTTACTACGCAAATGACCGAACAAATAGTGCGGTCTTGTTTTACAAAAATAAATTTTTACAGTAAATCTCTTGAACAATTGAGAGGCAAACATTATAATCACATAATTCAAAATACATGTTACACAATAAAGTCAAATATGCTTCATTTCTAAACAAACTACAGATATCGGTACTCGTGTACCTAAAACAAAGATGGCAGCCTCCATGAACATTTTGGGAAACTTTTAGGAATTATTATTGTGACAAAAATAAATTGATTGGAGCACGCTTCATGAACAATTACTGATTATAACATCAAAACATAATGGATACTACAAAAATGTGGAATAACAGACATGTTAATCCAGGAATAAAGAAATAATCGTGCTTCCTAAAATGTCAACAATCTAACATGAAATTCGGAGAAAGGTAACATTCAATTTTAGGAACGTTTACACATAGTAAACTATTAGAATGCTGAAAACAATATAATTACTAGTAATTACTTTACTGTCCTTATTTAAATAGGAATATTGCGTATACATTACTTATATGCTAAAAATGACAAAAAGTAATTATTTAATAAATAAAAAATGATTCTAAAAATAGAATAATTCAGTAACAATAACAAGCTTTACATGCCTTACAATACAATGGTCAAGCACATTGAGAGGAAGTGCAGTACACAAGAACCATAACTCCATCTTGACTAATTACAGAGTTAATGCCCTTTGTTACTTTTCCTTGTCCAGAGCATAACTTGAAAACTATTGTTTGGAATTCAATACAACTTCATACAGTTGTCAAGGACATTAAAAGGAAGTGCATTGCACAAGAACCATAACTCCATTTTGACAAAATACAGAGTTACTGCCCTTTGATACTTTTCCTTGTCTGGAGCATAACTTAAAATGTACTGGTTGGAATTCAAAACAACTTCATACAATGGTCAAGCACAATAAGAGGAAGTGCAGTGCACAAGAACTATAACTCCATCTTCAGTATTTATAGAGTTATTGCCCTTTGTTCCTTTTCCTTGTCTTTCTTGACTTATTACAGAGTAATTCAATAAAACTTCATCAATGACCACATTGAAAGGAAATGCAACATACAAGAACCACAACTATCTTTAATTGCCCACAACCATAACTCTATATTTCAATTCTTTTACAAGGTATTCTGTTACTAGTAACATCCTCATTTCCGAAGCAGTCTTTCGGGGGTATTAATCACATTTAGTGATAGTTCTAGTTTTTCTTGTATAGAATATATAGTGAACAATTTCTTCTGTGCGCAACTCCTCCTACATTTCTCAATGGATTTTGACCAAACTTTCTCAGAAGCTTTGTTATCAAGTGCCCTGGCACATATTGTCGGGGTTTTGTGATTTGATAATATTTGACCTATTTATGGCCCTCTTTTTTTTTCCTTCTATAGAATATATAGTGAACAATTTCTACTGTGCGCAACTTCTCCTACATTTCTCAACGGATTTTGACCAAACTTTCACAGAAGCTTTGTTATCAAGTGCCCTGGCACATATTGTCAGGGTTTTGTGATTGGATAATATTTGACCTAATTATGGCCCTTTGTTTTTTTTCCTTATACAGAATTATCAATATATAGTGAACAAATTCTTCTGTGCTAAACTTGTCCTACATTTCTCAATGGATTTTGTTCAAACTTTCACAGAAGCTTTGTCATCAAGTACCCTGGCACATATTGTCGGGGTTTTGTGATTGGATAATTTTTGACCTAATTATGGCCCTTTGCTTTTTTGCCTTATACAGAATATTTAGTGAACACTTTTTCTGTGTCAATTCCTCCTACATTATTCATGTTTTACATTGCACATAGTTACATTGTTTGTTGCTTGTATTTGTATTTCAAATATAACATATTTATCTACAATGGTGATAATTGAAAACCTGGTTTCGTGGCATTGCCATGTTTCTTGTTATGTTTGGACCTATAATGTATCAGTTGTTATGTTTCCTTAAAGTCCCTCATTAACCATTTGTATAGATGGGCAGAGGATACAAGTGAATGTTATTTTAACCAATGAGAATGAAAAAACAACAAAAACAAACTTTATTATTACAAACTATACTATACTTTTTTTGTTTTCAGAACACAAGTTAGCAAGTATGTGTTTCTTCTGTGTATTTATGCTGGCCCTGTATTTATGTCCACTATTTATAAACTCCCCATGTGTGATATTGGAAAAGAATCTCCCCGACAAACCGAAAATATTTGCGCACAGAGGTGCTTCCATGGTAAGAATTATTTAGAGGTCACTTTTCTTTGTTTATCTGTGTACAACCTCATAATGATCTCATTAACATCTGAAAACACTTGCTTATAACTTCACACACATATACCTGCGAATCTCAATACACTGAGGAGTTTATTGAATATGAAAAATGCCAACGTCGATTCCATATTGTCTGTGTTCAGAATGAAATGATCGACGGTGTTCCATTTGAATGCAAATTTTGCTGGAAAAAAAATGATATTGAAATGTAATGAAATATAACCTAATTAAAAAGACTTTTTGCTAAACAGTTTCATCTTAAATGCTTTATTAAAAAGTAAAAAATAATTTGTGAACATTACTACACTTTTAAGTCAATCAAACATAAGATATTTTTAAAAAATAAAGAATGTTTGGAAATACACTACATAAGTGTTTGGTAGACCTGCCCTGTTCTATCAAGCATTTTGACAGAATTATGCCCCTTTTTCAACTTAGAATTCACGTTAAAGTTTTTGTAATAGTTCAAATATTTTCAATGTCCATTGACATATGGCTTTGAAACTTTACACACTTGTTCACCATCATGACCCCAACCTGGAAACAGGAGGAGGTAACTCTATCAAGCATTTTGACAGAATTATGCCCCTTTTTTTACTTAGAATTTACGTTAAAGTTTTTGTAATAGTTCAAATATTTTCAAAGTCCATTGACATATGGCTTTGAAACTTTGCACACTTGTTCACCATCATGACCCCAACCTGTAAACAGGAGGAGGTAACTCTATCAAGCATTTTGACAGAATTATGCCCCTTTTTCGACCTAGAATTTACGTTAAAGTTTTTGTAATAGTTCAAATATTTTCAAAGTCCATTGACATATGGCTTTGAAACTTTGCACACTTGTTCACCATCATGACCCCAACCTGTAAACAGGAGGAGGTAACTCTATCAAGCATTTTTTTTACTATCAAGCACTAAGAATAGTCGAGCGTTGCTGTCCTACCGACAGCTCTTGTTTCCTCAAGTGTTCGGAAATACCCAACCCAATCTACTAAGATTTTAAGAAAAGTAAAAATATTCACATATCAAGAAGTAATTTACATGTTATGCTCAATTAATGTCATATTTTGGAGTTTTTGACACCATATTTCTCTTGCATTACTAACACAGTAAGAGCTATTTTTGCATAATTTTACTTTTGTTTGGTAATTTACGTGGATTGAACGTGCTGTTTGAATATGTAAATAAATAATTTTGTTCACTTTACAATACATTACCTTTTAATACGTTTTGAAAATTTCATATAAATTATCATAAATCTGGAGGCATGCAGCTTTAAACTAAAAGTAATATACTTTTAACAGACGATGTAAATATTTCAGATTGCCCCAGAGAATACATTGATAGCATTTGAACTTGCAGCTGAGAACGGAGCATTTGGTGTGGAAACTGATGTACAAATCAGGTAAATTTCATCAAATATAATAATTTAAATTATGAAAAAGGACAAAATTGAAATGCTTTTCACTAAAATCAGGGACAATAATAGCACAAAAATATGATTTTCAATTTCTTTCTGAGTATAATATTAATACTCAAGAATTTTTTGCAAATCTTTTTGTTAAACTAGCCAAAGCTGATCTATATAAGGTATTCAAATTTTATGTTTTTAGGTTTTCAGGACCTCACTGGAGCTCCTTTAACAGTTTTTTCAACAACAAAAAAAGCTTCTGAAAAATAAAGATAATAGCATAGTTTATGATGAATGTTTCTTTGTTTTATTTCAGTATGGATGGTGAGTTATTTATTATGCATGACAATACATTACATCGAACAACTAATATAGAGGATGTGTACCCAGATCTTGTAAATCAACATTCTTCATATTTCAACATAACAGAATTAGAGGAGCTCAGTGCTGGTGAATGGTTTATAAAGGTAACTGTTGTGTATAACTACTCTGTTATTCACTGATCAAGATGTATTACTAATAAGCCCTACCTACTGACCTTATCTAAACATGCCGCGCTTTAAATCAAATCAGTTAATACAGTACAGCTTTTGAACAATTTTTCCAAAGACTGCCGATCCCTGTGATTTTTTTACAGGTGGATTGCCAATGCAAAGTCCCTGCGATAGTTGTGACTTTCCTTTCATCACCAGATCGGGTGAAATTCGCGCTGTTGGATACTGTCACCGTTGATCACTGTGAAATATTGCGGGGACATTTCGCTCTCTCGAGTGACCATTTATCAATTTATTTCATTATTTGCTTGCATCTGTAAAAGATAACTCGAGCAATATTTGTTGTATCCTTTTAGTGAGACTAATATATAGATGTGTGTGTGGGATGGGTCTTCATGGTTGAGTGGTTAAGGTTACAGATTTTGAACAACTTGTTGCTCACAGTGGTTTCAAATCTCACTAAAAAATTTGGATTCTTTCATTTGAGGAAGGTAGCCTATGGAAGGTTGTTGGTTCTACTGGGATTCTCTGTTGATCCTGAATTAATAAAGGTTTGGCACCTGAGATATTCATTGACCAGTAAACAGGGCTCTACAAATTTTTTTGGAATAGAGTTGTCCAGGACAACTGACATAGCAAAATAGAGTTGTCCCAAAATTGACCACAAGTGTCCAAGTCTCGATAAATGTTCAGTATGCTTAGTATGTATATCTAAAGAAGAAGTAAAAAGAATCAGTTTTAAATTACATTTTATATTTCATTTAGTATAAAAAAGAACATTTTGTGACAACTGAAATACTTTTGATCCCTGAGGTAGGCCTACATTTCAGCACTGTTCAAGTTCAATAGCCAGTGTATGTTTTGTTTCAGTTTTATTTTTTTCCCTTGATCTTGAAAATTTAAGTAAAATTATTCTAACTTAAATCTAGTCAGCCATATACTCTCTCAAGTTCCACATTTCACAAAGGACATGGAAAACAAGAAATAGATAGTCAATATCACCCGGCAGGGAAATATAAAATAGGAGAGTGAATTAGACTATTCAAATACTTACAAATCTCATCATTATTTAACTTAACAATGTCAAAAGTGCTTTTGATTCATTAGTAACAAAATATTATTAATCTTTCTACTAGCTGCAGAGCTTTAAACTTATTAAAACTGCCTTTCGATTTATATACTAAAGCTGGAATGTTACCATGTGACCTCAGTGTTACCAAGGCCCATAACTCTAAACATGGATTTTGACAAAATGTTATAGACATTTGTGAACTTAGAAAATTCTACCATATCCAGGCTCTTGTTTAACAATTAAGCCCTCAGAATAATCGGGCATGTTGTCCTTCCGACAGCTGTTCTTTTGAACACCAATCATTGCTATACCTTGTCAACTGTATGTTTATTATTAGTTTAGTTTAGTTTATTTTAATTTAGATCCATTAAGCTTAAAAGCCTATGAGGCAAACTTTTTGCATATATTATACATTTTTTATTTATTGAAATATTTTCAAACGTATCACCTTTGTTTATACATTTACAGGCAAATCCATCAGGCAGTGTAGGAAGTCTTTCAGAAGCGGATAAATCACTTTACAGAAGTCAAAAAGTTCCATCGTTTCTCAGCGTACTACAGTTGTGTATGAAACATAACCTAGCTGTAATGTTTGATGTTTTTAGACCACCAGAGTCTCATCCATTTTACAATGATACTTTCCCTACCTTGACAGATATAGTTAGTATGTCTGGGATAAACAAATCAATGGTAAACACATTTTGAATTTTTAGCTTGTCTGTTTTGAGGAAACTGTTGAGCTAGTATGATTGCTGCGGCGATGGCAGCGTCCATGTTGTCAATCAAAAACTTAAAATGTAGCTCATTATTCAAACATTTTAAAAGGTATTAACATGAAACTTGAAATACTTGCTTATCATGACAAAGTGCAGTTGTTAGACAAGGGGCAAGAATTTTGGAGTTCTGCCCCTTTTTAATTTAGAATTTTTAACAGACAAACGTAAACACTGCATTTGGTGCTGTTGATTGTTTTAATGCATCAAGTCTTGTCAATTATCTACAAAGGGTGATAATCATTTGTTTAGAGTAGTTGCATAGTTAATTTTTAGGCCATTGAGATAAATAACTATACTAGTTCATTAATCTTTAATTAAAATGAGCAACTTGTGAGGTTTGAACTGTATTTTACATGTTTTTATTTCAAATTAAGTGTCAGGCTTGCTCTTTTTGTTTCAGATATTTTATCCAACATCAAGTTTTGAAAATTTCCTTCCTCCTAGAGGCTGGAAGAGACTGTTCACTGAGAAAGGAGCAAGTCTACAGTACCTTCATCATAACAATTACACTGGTGTACATGTAGGACACAATGATGTTGATACAGAATCCTGGAGGTAACATTATGTACCTGCTTCTTCACTTTTACCCCTTATCATACTGAATTATTGTACAAACTTACCCTGAATTGACTTTATAAACTCCCTATTATATGATAGGTTATAGAAATATGATAATTAGAGTGAGCTCCCAAAAGATAAGCAACTTGCAAGTCTGCATAGTTTCTTGCAAATCTGTAATTAAACTCTAGCCTAGTACTGGTGTGACTCTCCAGGAACGATGGTTTGGAAACTACCCGCCTATATGACTGAAATACTGTTGGGAAAAGGCGTAAAATGAAACAAACGCACTTGCCAATCTGTATATGGAGTCTTGCCTATCTATATATAGAGTTTAGCTATTCTGTATAGATTTGTGTCTGTCTGTATAAAATCTTGCCAGTCTATATATTGTAAAGGGATTTAGCTCAATACAGGATTGGAGCAGTACCTCTAGACGCTTGCAGAAATCATGATCACAAAATAGACAAATATCGTTTTTTTCGCCGATTTTTTACATTTTTCCTTCATTATCGTACTTAATTCGGTGTGAAAAGATGAATTAGACCTGTTTAAGTTCATTCCGTTGGGTAAAAAGGCAAGATTTTAGCATTTTATCATTCAAGCGCCTTGTCCGGTATATACCGGAATACGGTATTTAGTGTGGTGCTCCAATCCTTTTTTTAGTCTCACTCATTGTAAAGAGTCTTCCCATTTTGTGAAGATTCTTGTCCATCTGTATATACTATTGCCTATAGATTCTTGTCAGTCTTTATGGCCAGTCTTTATTTTTAAGTGGTTTTCAATTGGCTTATTCACATACAATGTACAATTAGCTAAATTACATATATGCACATGTAGCCAGATCGCATATGGCTAATTTCTAGATTTAATCACATATGTACATAAGGCTTTTTCATATATTATGTACAAGTTGCTCATTCATGTACATTTTACTTTCTATATCATATCATGTTTGAATTTTATGAAGACAGTGTCTATTCTAGGAGGGGGATAGGGGGATTCTATCCTATTTTTGAGCATTCCCCCCTAGTTTTTTCAGAGGCAGGGGGTAAATTTTACATAGAGAAAGAAGGAAAAAAATCAACAGATGTAAAAAAAAGTCTCACTTTTCGATAAAAATCCCCCTTGTTTTTCAAATCCTACATTGTGAAGATAGTCAAGCAGTTAAGTTATCCAGCTATCTTTTCGACAGTTGGATGCGCAGGCTAGTATGGATCCATGCTGGTCGCAAACGCACTATGTTTGTTTTGTTGTGACTCGGCTCAAATGTATTTACTATCTAACAACTATAGTTTAATTATCGACCAACCACATATTGAATATAACATGAATCAAACAAAAATTCGGACAATTGCGGACGGTATCGTAAACAATTTCTTCTGCGCGCAACTCCTTCTACATTTCTCAACAGATTTTGACCAAACTTTCACAGAAGCTTTGTCATCAAGTGCCCTGGCGCATATTGCCAGGGTTTTGCGATTGGATAATATTTGACCTAATTATGGCCCTTTGTTTTTTCTCCTTATATAGAATATATAGTGAACAATTTCTTCTGTGCGCAACTCCTCCTACATTTCTCAACAGATTTTGACAAAACTTTCACAGAAGCTTTGTCATCAAGTGCCCTGGCACATATTGTCTGGGTTTTGTGATTGGATAATATTTGACCTAATTATGGCCCTTTGTTTTTTTTTCCTTATACAGAATATATAGTGAACATTTTCTACTGTGCACAACTTCTCCTACATTTCTCAACGGATTTTGACCAAACTTTCACAGAAGCTTTGTTATCAAGTGCCCTGGGGCATATTGTCGGGGTTTTGTGATTGGATAATATTTGACCTTATTATGGCCCTTTGTTTTTTTTCCTTATACAGAATTATCAATATATAGTGAACAAATTCTTCTGTGCTGAACTCGTCCTACATTTCTCAACGGATTTTGTTCAAACTTTCACAGAAGCTTTGTCATCAAGTGCCCTGGCGCATATTGTTGGGGTTTTGTGATTGGATAATTTTTTACCTAATTATGGCCCTTTGGTTCTTTTCCTTATACAGAATATATAGTGAACACTTCTTCTGTGCAATTCCTCCTACATTATTCATATTTTACATTGCACATAGTGACATTGTTTGTTGCTTGTATTTGTAATTCAAATACAACATATTTATCTACAATGGTGATAATTGAAAACCTGGTTTCGTGGCATTGCCATGTTTCTTGTTGAATTTTCTACCAGGTTTTTAGCGAAAAACCGACTGTACTCTGTACTCATTTAAACGGATTAACGTGACACCTCTAGAAATAGTTGATTAAAGTGATTAAATTGTCAATTCACTTGAGTATTTTCTTTTGTCTGTAAGTGTGTGAATAATTCTTTTTTTACTTTTTTCACATTTTCAGTTGATATTGATGTAATAACAAAGTGGTGTTAATCTTGTTTAAATTTATGTTTTATTTGCAATGCTATGCAATACATTCTATATTTTATAGATTATATAGAAAAAACAACTTGACAACATCTGTATATATGGTGAATAAAGCCTGGTTATATTCGTTCTACTGGTGTATTGGTACTGGATTTATTTCAACAGATTACTGTGATGTCATATCAAAGGTAGATAAACCAGTCTGGCAGTTGGTAAGTTTAACATGTTTACCTCCCTTTATTGAATCCTTACATCACTAAACTTTTGTTATGGACTGTCTTTGTGTTGAATAAGGCACTTATAACCATTATTGTCATTAGAGGTGTTGATTTAAATTGACAGTCTGACATTTTTTGATTCAAATTTAACATTTAAAAAAATTTACAAAATGTAAATTGTGTTAATTTAAATTAGCAACATTGTTGTTTATCAGCTTATAATGATGCACGTCCTTTACACTATGCAGGTCCTTTCCCAAGATTGTTTATTTTCCATCACACTTTAGCTTCATGTTATAGAATATAAAACAATAAATCTGCTGGAAAAATTATTGTTTGAATTTTAAGAAAAAGAATACTTCCAAAATGCTTGTATGAAATTAATATGGCAGTAATTTGCCTCAAAGGTGGAAGGCTCATCCTCAAGGTCATTGCTTAACAGATTAACTCTACTTAAAATGGCAGAACATTTTATTCTGTTTAAGTATAATATTCATGTATATGAAAAAACAGAGACATTCTATGATATTACTTTCAAGAAATAACGATAAGATTGTAGAAACAATATATAAGATAATTGTTTCTTACGTTTACATGGTATTGTTCTCTTACATGGTACCAACTCTTTTCCCCAATATTTTAAATGTTAAACAGTTGTAAATTTTATGCAAGAGCATTGTTCTCTTATTTACTACCAGCTCCTTTTTATGCTCCCCGAAAAATTTCGGGGGAGCATATAGTCGCCGCCTTGTCCGTCCGTCCGTCTTTCCGCCCGTCCGTCCGCACTCACAGGACAGTAATTATGTGGCTAGAGGGACAATAGGTAACTTTTCTTTCTCTTTGATGTCATTCATTCCGTAATGCTTTTATGTTGCTATTTTCTTTTGTGTGGCTAAAAAGAACAATAGAGAGAACAATGGAGTAGCCACATTATTACTCTCCTGTTAGAACGTCCGTCCGTCCCCTTTTCTTGTCTGGGACATAACTTTGAAACAACAAGAGTTATCAACATGAAACTTTGTAGGTAGATAGATCTCATTGAGTAGGTGTGCAGTGCACAAGAACCGTAACTCTGCCTTGCCTAATTTTTGAATTATTCCCCTTTGTTTATTTTTACACTTTGAACTTTGTCCGGGACATAACTCTAAAACTATAAGAGGTATCAACATGAAACTTTGTAGGTAGATAGATCTCATTGAGTAGGTGTGCAGTGCACAAGAACCGTAACTCTGCCTTGCCTAATTTTTGAATTATCCCCCTTTGTTTATTTTACACTTTGAACTTTGTCTGGGACATAACTCTAAAACTATAAGAGGTATCAACATGAAACTTTGTAGGTAGATAGATCTCATTGAGTAGGTGTGCAGCGCACAAGCACCGTAACTCTGCCTTGCCTAATTTTTGAATTATCCCCCTTTGTTTATTTTACACTTTGAACTTTGTCCAGGACATAACTCTAAATGTATAAAAGATATCAACATGAAACTTTGTAGGTAGATAGATCTCATTGAGTAAGTTTGCAGTGCACAAGAACTGTAACACTGTCTTGCCTACTGTTGGAGTTATTGCCCTTTGTTCATTTTGACACTTTGAACTTTGTCCGGGACATTACTCTAAAATTATAAGAGATATCAACATGAAACTTTGTTGGTAGCTAGATATAATTGGATAGAACTGCAATGCTTAAAGAACCTAAACAAAGCCTGGTCTAATTTTGGAGTTATTGCCCTTTGTTCATTTTTACACTTTGAATTTTACCCGTGACATAACTCTGATATCATCAGGAAACTTTATAGATAGATAGATCTCATTGAATAGAAGTGCAGTGCAAAAAAACATATCTCCACTTTGCCTAATTTTGGAGTTTTTTGCCCTTTGTTCATTTTTTTTATACTTTCCTGTGTCCAGAACCTTCTCGGGGAGCATCACCCGGTTCAACCGGTTCTTGTATTTTATTATTTTGATTTTGAATTTCCCAAAAGTCATGGAGGCGTCCGGATCGAGTGGTTGAGGTCGTTGACTTCAAACCACTTGCCTCTGAATGCTTTGCAGACTTGAAATCACTTGCCCCTGACTGCTATGGGTTTAAATCCCAACAGGGACTTTGGATTCTTTCGTTTGAGGAATCTATCCAGCTAGCTTGCGGAATGTTGGTGGTTTTACTTATGTTCCTCTTCATGCCTGAAATAGTGCACAGAAGAGCACCTGAGGTCTTCATCCACCAGTAAAGATGGAAAGTCACTATATGACCTTGACTGTGTTGGTGCAATGTAAATTTCAATCCAACCAGAAAGTCATAAATAGAGTATTTCTAATCTACCTCATAACCTTGTGAATGATTTATTGTACATATAACAAATATTGTATATATCATGATGAAAACTTTATATTTAGTCAACAGTATAAAGGTGGGTCAGGCTACACAGACTGTCCTGGTTCTATGCTGTATGCAAAGTCTAATCACTTTGGATTTGACTTTAATACAGGACTGGAGCAGTACATGTACCTCTAGACACTTGCAGGAATCATGATCAATAAATAAACAAATATCGTGTTTTTTAGCAGATTCTTACATTTTTAATTCACTATCATACATAAATATGTGAAAAGATGAATAAGACCATTTAAAGTTCATTCCATTGGGTGAAAAGGCAAGATTTTAGCATTTTATCATTCAAGCACCTTGCCTGGTATATACTGGAATATGGTATTTAGTGTGGTGCTCCAATCCTTTTTTTTAGTCTCACTCAATCACTTTCAGTGGCAGCAAGTAAATGTTTCAAGTCATACCAGTTTTAATATGTGATTTGATATAGCAGTTTAATATGTGATTTAATATAGCAGTTTAATATGTGATTTAATATAGCAGTTTAATATGTGATTTAATATAGCAGTTTCATTGTATACACCTTGTACATTGAAAATTATTATTCATACTTATAAAACACCTGAAATGATACCTTAACTGTCCTGGTTCTATGCTACTTGTAAAGGCTAAACACTGCTCTTTCAGTGCTAGCAAGTAAATGTTTAAAGTCACACAGTTTAAATACAATGTATTTGTTTTTACAGCAGTTTCATTCTATACATTTTGTCCTTTTAGAAAAGTTATTCGTACTTACATAACACCTGCAATGATACTTAAACTGCAGGCTTTGCTGTACAAAGTAAAACCAATTCTTCCCTTGTATAAAAATGCAGTAATTTAGCCTTATATAACACCAGTAATACATATTTGTATGATAAAAGTATTGTATGTTTGTATTTGATGGTAAACAGTTACTCATAGATATGTATATGAAACACTGGAACCTAAATTTGAAATTAAACATATACCTAAAAGTATATGATTGTTTTTGCCATATAATATTTACCCAGCAAGATGTTATTATGTCTATCTGGAAGTACATTTTGATATGGTACAAATGTTTCCCATTGGCCATGTTAACCTCTCTTGTATTGCAACAAAAAGTTTGCCAATTCATAAAGGAATAAAAATGCATTCTAAAATAAGGGCATTGCATATAATCTAAACCATCAGACATCTGGGATAATCTTTCTCTATGAATTGATATCTGCATATGTGTATTAAACCAGTGTGTTATGTTCACACAACACGAGAATTGCCCTCTACTATGCTCCTTGTACTGTAATCTGAAGCTGCAGTAAAATTGCCATCTTAAATTAAACCAGTAACTTCTTCTTTCATGAAATTCACACTGTTGTCTAATACTGTAGGCATGATGTTGTTCTATTTGACCTGTATTTTGTCTCATAATTTCTGCATCATTGTGTCCTGGCATACTTTGCCTTAAAACTGCCACATTATTGTGTTCTGGCATATTTTGCCTTATAACTGTCATCTCATTGTGTTCTGGCCCATTTGGCCTTATAATTACCTTTTGTTCTGGCCCATTTTGCCTCATAATTTCCACACGATTGTGTTCTGGCACACTCTGTCTTACAGTAACCACACTATTTTGATCATCTGATATGTATTGCCTCATAACTATCTCATCATTGTGTTCTGACATAGTTTGCCTCATAATTACCACATCATTATTGTGTTCTGACACTATTGCCTCATATGTTGCTGGATCTACACCAAAAGATGTTGCTGCCTCTTCAAAAGTCATAGTTATCCTTTAGGAAAACCTCTGTCCTGTGTTAGAACAATACAAAGAAAAGTGTAATAGTAAAGATAGAAACTAACATTATAATTATACTGTCATGTCAACAATTAGTAATCATTATAGGCATAATGTGATAGAATGAATATTTTTGTATTCAACAGTCACCAAGAAGTTACCTTGTATTGTGGTTGGTGGCAGACAGCACTTCAGCTATACTTATTATCATCATGTTCTTAGTACATAGGTGAGTAATATAGAAATATTTCATTTTGTTATATACCTGTTTTGTAATGTAATTCACCTGTATATTATTCACTTAAACAGTGTCAATATCACTTCAAATAAAACAAAAACAAAAAGAAATGGCTTAGTTACAGAATAAATTGTCGTACCTAATACAGTGAACATTTAAAATGGTCAACATACCTTTTTACATAGTCTGTCACCTGAAGCTTGAAATTGTTGCCTTGTTACTCCTGTTGTATCTTTCTATATCTGAAAAAAAGAGATATTAGATTTTTAACAAATATTTATAAAGCACATCTATTTCTTACCTGAAGAACTGAAAGATAAACTAATGTAAGATAAGATATTTAAAGATACAATATGCTCAAAGAACTGAAAGGTAAAATGTTTTAAGATAAGATATTTAAAGATATTTAAAGATAAAATATGCTTAAAGAAGTGAAAGGTAAACTGTTTTAAGATAAGATATTTAAAGATACAATATGCTCATCTTTATTATCCCCCGCCGATGGAATCGGGAGGGGGATATAGTTTTGGCGTTGTCCGTCCGTCCTTCCGTCCGTCCGTCCGTCCGTCCATCCGTCCGTCCGAATTTTGTTTCCGGAGTAGTTCTCTGCAACTAATGGCTGGAATTCAACGAAACTTTATGGGAATGTTGATCAGCATGTGAAGTTGTGCACCTGGGTATTTTCGTATGGATATTTTTAGTATTTTTAGAGTTATTGCCCTTGACTTAGTAAAACGTCAGAATTTCGTTTCCGGAGTAGTTCTCTGCAACTAATGGCTGGAATTCAACGAAACTTTATGGGAATGTTGATCAGCATGTGAAGTTGTGCACCTGGGTATTTTCGTATGGATATTTTTAGTATTTTTAGAGTTATTGCCCTTGACTTAGTAAAACGTCCGAATTTCGTTTCCGGAGTAGTTCTCTGCAACTAATGGCTGGAATTCAACGAAACTTTATGGGAATGTTGATCAGCATGTGAAGTTGTGCACCTGGGTATTTTCGTCTGGATATTTTTAGTATTTTTAGAGTTATTGCCCTTGACTTAGTAAAATTTTGTAATTTTCAACTTGTGTCGCATGTAACTCAAAAAGTATTTGACCTAGAGTCATAAAACTTTTCAGGAATGTTGATCAGTATGTGTAGTTGTGCACCTGGGTATTTTCGTCCGGATATTTTTACTATTTTTAGAGTTATTGCCCTTGACTTAGTAAAATTTTGCAATTTTCAACTTATTTGAAAATTATGAGATCCCTTCTTGATGCCTTGAAAATGGCAATGAAGTCTGGAGATTAAGATGTTTTTACATCTAGGTGAGCTATTGTGATCCCCCACCGTCCGTCGTTGTGCGTCGTCAGCAATTTCTTTAAACAACATCTCCTCAGAAACAAATGACTGCACAGCAACCAAACTTTACAGGAATGATCCTAGGGTGGTCCCCTGCCAAAGTTGATCAAATGGTTCCGGTCTGTTGCATAAGTAGGTCACAGGGCCAGAAAAGGAGTTTCAAAAATGCAAAATTAAAAAATCTTGTCTGAAAGTACAAGGCCTAGAGCTTTGATATTTGGTATATGATATAACCTATAGGTCCTCTACCAAAATTGTTCAAATTTTAGCCCTGGGGTCAAAATTGGCCCCACTACAGGGGGTCATAGATTTTCCTTATATGTATATAGTGAAAACTTCTTGTTTGAAGGTACAAGGCTTCAAGTTCAAAGAATATTACAGTTTATGCCATGATTAATATATAAATAAAGCCTTATGGCTTCAGTTGTTGTGTTAATAATAACCAGTACTCGGCGGGGGATATAAATTCAACGAATTTGCTTGTTTAATCTGCTTTTATTGTAGAAATTGAAATCTTGGAAATTCTTTTTGAATTTGTCTAATTTAAATAAGAGAATGTGCAAACTATCTATTGGAAACTGCACACTCTATTTCTGGTTGAATTAATTCATAAAAAACTGGCCGCACTGCAACATAGATAATGATACATTATAATGATGTATTCTATCCAACTACATTACAGGACATTGTTGGTTTTACTCAGTTGCCCACTTTTGCCTAAATTAATGATTAGAGGGCACCTGAGGTCTTCCTTCACAAGTAAGGCTGGAAAGTTGCCATACCACCTATACTGTGTTGGTGTGACATAAAACCCAACTAAACAAACCTTTACAATGTTAATGTGATATAAAACACAACCAAGAAAAAAATGTATCATTGAAGTGTACTGCTATGTTTTTTTTGTTACAGAAAAATGAATGTTTTCCTACTTGCCAGCCAAACTGCATGTATTTATAATATATGACTTGTGACACAGTTACAAAACATCTGTCAAACAAATACAATAACATGTATAGGAGATTTCTAAATGCTCACTCATTCTTGCTTATTCTTGAAGATCACTTTGTTATTTTTAACAAGATGGACTATATTGGATGCATTATATTTGTTAGTAAATTTTTTAAACCATTAAAATAGCTGAAGAGAAGAAACTTATACTACTTTATGTGTTATTTTTTCAGGTATAGGTTTTATAGTCATAGATATCATCCTGAAAGGATGTCATTAAGTTCACATTCCAATGGTAGTAGCACATGGGGACCAAAGAGAACACGGCGATCCATGAAGGAGAAACTACTCATGCGTGATGTACAAGCAGATGCCTACGACCTTGAGCCAGACGACGACCTTGGCATTGATAGTAATGGTTATAATGCCACGGTCACAGTACTTGAAGGTCGTGAACTTTCACAAGCATTCCAAAGAAACAGTTACCATAGTAACACAGGCAAAGATGCTGAAGATTATGACAGTCAAAAAGGTTTCCATAGCAACAGATCTAGTTACCATAGTACAGGTAACGGTTACCACGGTGATGGAAAAGAGGTCAATCGATCTAGTTTCCATGGAAACGAAATCAAAAGGTCAAGCTTTATAAGTAGTGTGGAGAATGGGGAATTGTTTGGAGATTCCGGGAAAAGAAATAGTTACCAGGCAACAGGCGCATTAAATGAATCAGATCATACAGATATTTTTCCAAATGGTACAGCGGACCCAAATGTAAACACATATCAAAGTGAAACAGCATTTACTTGAAAAGTTTTATGTGATTTGTTTTGTAATTTTTTTTTATTTTTTTTTTCCTTATTATCAAAGCAATATATTTTATAAGGCTTTTTTTTCCTCTGTTGATGTCTTTCTCAAGTTTTGTTGATAGATATATATGTTGTTGTTGTTGTCAACTGAATGTTGAGTTCTTTTATATTTATGAGAACATTGTACTAGAAAATTTTTATTATTATGTTTTAGATAGACGGAAATTATTGTATACATGTATTCTACGTTATATTCATTAAATTCAGTTAAATAATCAAAAACTTCCATTGTGAGAGATCATTACATTAATATATTTTTGTGAATTAATTTTATGCAAAATTGATTTGATTAACACATTTTCACCAGCATTATATTCTTTGATTTGTTAATTTCAATTGATGCATTCATAGACCATGTTCAAATGAAGACAAAGTTATAAATCACAAGGGGGGGGGGGGGGCACCTTTGGAAAGGTTGTGAGGCTCAACTGAATCACTCTTTTTCTCCCCTTTTAGTGAATGGACAGGAACAAAGAATCTTGCCAGCTTTTGATGGTTCAACTTATTTGCCTAATCAGTAATGCACTTAGCGTCATCACTTTGGTTAATGCCAGAAAGTTATTATATTAGCTTGATGAGAAATTTTTAGTACGAGTTCAATCTTAACCTCATGAATTTGGGTATTAGATTTTTGCCCAGTTTCAAACTTGGAACAGTCCATTCACATTGTAAGGGATTTCAATATCAAGAAACAAAAAAAAAAATGAGTTACAACTACCAACAGTAGAGTAGGGTTACTGTTTATGGCAGTAACGAGGCTCTGCTGAGTTTCCACTAAACAGTTACCCGAGAGCTAGATATTCTGGTCTGTACCGGCAGCCAGTGTTTGATTCTTTTTTCTTGCATATAACATATCAATAATTTTCAAAACAGGAAATTACGAAAACTGATATTCTCATTACGCACTTTTTTCTTATAGTAGTGTATGAACTTACAACTTCATTCAAAAAAGGTTAAGTGACATTGTCCTAAGAAGGCAATTCATTCATAAAACGCCCGCGGCAATGACATCATTTAAAACGGGCAATTTGTCTTATAGGGGGGGTTTAAGACAGGGTTTTCTAGCACCGGTATAAATGGTAGATAATCCTGTGTGACATGCAAGAACTAACTCTATATGCTAATCACTTTCACCCCCAGCAGGCTAAATTCCAACCACATTCATGATTTGAAGAATTGGTAAAAATCAGTTCGGGATTAAATTATTTGTGAATAAGTAAGTATCTTGAAATAAGTTATGTGTTGATATGTTCAACACTGCTCTAGGTAGAACAATATTTAAAAACTAGGGTTAATTGTTATATAAATTTATACAGTTATATCGAAAAAATATCAAACATTACCAAAATAATGAGAAGCCAATATGTGATATGAAAAGAATATTCTATATTTTTGAATGGTATTACATTTTACCAAAAATTACATTATAAATGTGATAATTGTACTAAATGAGTTTATAGATAACACCCTAGGGTAATGGTGGCCTAGTGGATTGAGCCTTACTCCAGTCAAGATTATATTTCTTAAAATGATACCTGTGCGAAATAGAATTCAAGTTGTTAGAACAAGTTTCACAATAGATCTTGAATAAACACATGTATATGTTCACTTATAAAAAAGATATTTGCCATAAGTTGCCAGAACAGTGACGTTTGACTTAAAACTCAACTTTTGGGTTGAAAAACAAGATTATTTTTATCTTTTAATCTTGAATATGAATGTTAAGTTCCTATGCAAGTCTGTTGTAAAGTTCACAGTGATTATTGTGTTCCATGGTATGTAAAATAGTTCTTGATTTTTGCCATAATGTATTCCCCTATCACCTAACCTTGTGTCTATTTTAAGCTCGAATTTTTCAAAGAAAAAAAAAGCTATTTCTTCAGTCATGTTGACCTTGCTGTGGCTCTTGTTAATTTAATTTTTGTGTTGTTTCTTAACTTCAGCTAACACTTTAACAATATTCATATTCATAATTTATAATGTACTGGCAGCTTTTTACAAACAGGCCTAGATATTTACAGAAAATGTCATACAAAGCTAGCTTTTTTTAAAAAAAAGATCAAGATCAAAATATGCTTTAACACCCTTCAAGATCATTTATATGGATGCATTAATATGTGTGCAATTTATTGTGATAATATTTGAGCCACGCCATGATAAAACCAACATAGTGCGTTTACGACCAGCATAGATCCAGACCAGCCTGTGCATCGGCGAATGCTGGTCTGGATCCATGCTGTTTGTTATCAGTTTCTCTACTCGTAAAAGGGTTGATAAGTGAACAGCATGGATCCTGATCAGACTGCGCGGATGTGCAGGCTGGTCTTGATCCATGCTGGATCGCGAACCCACTATGTTGGTTTTGTTGTGACGCGGCTCATTTGTATTGTAGTGGAACCTTTATGTGGTTGATGTGGCTGTGTATTTGTGACTGTGAAACCATTTGTCCCTCACAGCTTGATGCAAGCATGATAGTCATTTATGTAGCTTAAAGATTTTTGATGGCTCTACAAATGTGCACATTCTTAGCTTGACTGTTTGAGTTAGTTTGAACTATGGAGTTGGTTTGGCTATTTGGAGGATAGCTGGTTATGAAACTTTAGATACATAATTATGTAATCATTATTTTTATAGAACATGAAAAATATAGATAACATTTTACATTTATATTATTAACCTATGTTATGAGAAATTGGTAATAACTACATGTTCTTATTTAGCGAACGTTTTAGATTATTAAAAAGCAGGTAATGTTTAAAAAATCATTTGGTATTAAGCAGAATGAAGTTTATAAATGGTATTCAATAACTTGGTATTAGATTCCAGTTAAAAAAACAAAAACAAAAATAAAACCTATTGTTAAAAAGGCTTTGATTTATTGGCCTGTTACCAATGTGGGTTCTAATCATGCAATTTTTATTGAAATGTTTAATGTTAACTAAAGAGAGCTTAATAAGCCAGCTAGGTTGTGGAACCTTAGTGGTTCTACTCATAGACATCAAATATTGTGGTGTCTCGGGGAATTTCTTACTACATTACTAGAGTACAGTTACGAGAATTTGACAATATTTAGTGGAAAACAATATACTTTTTGCAGGTTTCTATAGGATTTTTAAAGGCTAAATGCATGGGCAGATGAAAGCATATAACGTTACAATGAAATACATCTTTACCATGATCATATTGTGACAGAAAATTGGAAATATAGAATCCATTAGTGTATGAATATTTTTGAATTTATATAAAATTGTGGATCAATTGTTTTTGTTATCATGATACTTGTAGAAAGTACCAGATATTGACACCAAAAGGATAAATATTTCTAGTAACATCTCAAATCAAAGCACAGAAGGTGCTGAATTTGTTTGGGTCTAAGAATGTCAGAAAGGTGAAGGTTGTGAGATTTGTTTTTGTATAGTGCCACCAATGCTTTTCCGGCGTTTTAATTCTAGTAAATTGGCTATAAGACTAATTGCAACACTGATATTCAATCCAATGTTTATTTGACGTAAACAATTTGAAAATAAAATGAGTTGCCTTAACTGGGATTTAAACTCCAGACCTCTCACTCCCTAAGCAAGGTCGCAAACGCCTCAGCCACAGTGAATTTATATCTAAACGGCCTGAAGAAAACCATGTTATTCTAAGTTAGGGTTTGTAACGACGCTAACTGTTGTTTAACACAGATGTAAATAATCATGGCGCTTACTACAAGCATGTATATCTATAAAGAATAAAACAATATTAGAAATCTTCGACCATTCAGAAATTATTATGCTTGAAAATTAATGCGCCTGTCATGTGACCATATTTACACAGTGATCTCCCCTGTATTTTTCGGCCTTAGTGTTACATATAAAGGGAAGTAACCGCTTTAAAAGCGGACTAAAAAGCGGACTTCTTTCGGTACTTGCAATTAACAGCATTAGAGTCTGAAATTTCGCTACCATTATTTGTTTGGTCTGACGACCCAAACAAATAAAAACAAACAAAAATTTATGTTGTATTTTATTAGAAGTTTACCATCTTCAAGTTTCTGTAATTTTGTACAAGATGGATTTGCTAAGCTTTTGAGTTTGGATAAGACCTTGTTGTTTATTACCAACATTAATTGGCCAACCTAAATAGCATAGGGTGATGTTGGACTGTATAGAGGTACACCTCGGCTATGCTGTTTACTGATAGTTGAGTTAATTAATACTTCAGACATTCTGAGTTAAAAGTGTGTTTTTATTATTATTATTGAATGGAAACTGTATTGCTTTAACCGTATAGCAGTTTTGAATTGAATAAAAAATTGTTATTTCATAGTGACTTGATTATTTTCCATTGTTTGTCAGCACACTTGTCACAAAGTGACATGGTAAGCTTTTGTGATCACTTTTTGTCCGGCGTCTTTCTGTCCATACGTAAAATGTAACTTTAAACGTCATCCCCTCATAAACCTTTAAGACAATTTCATCCAAACTTCACAGGAATGTTCCTTTGATAGTCAACTTTGATAATTGTTTAAAATATTAAATTCCATGCAGAACTATGACATAACCAAAAGAAAAAAAAGAAAAATCTGCATTTAAAAGACCTAGGTTAAAAAAAAAGCTCGAGGGTCAATATTGGCCCATCCCAAGTTGTCATTGATTTTCCTTATATGTACACATCTTTTGGAACTGTTGTTTTCCCTTAGCAATAGCAACCAATTATGTCGAAACATGCACTTTTTCAGATACAAATATGAACTGCTTTTGTTGAAAATTACAAAATTACTTGTTTCTTATCTTGGAGAGCTATAATATACAGGTGAGCGATTTCAGGGCCATCATGGCCCTCTTGTTTATGTGTTGGTGTGAATTGAATTACGCTTTTATTATAACATATGCTAGTCAGTCAGTATGTCTGTCTGTCTGTCTGTCTGTCTCTGAGTACATGCACGAGTTCAAAAAGTATCATAAAAAATCATATGATATCAACTTCAGCATGTATTAAAGGGTGTATAAAATAAATTGGTTTGAATGACCACCTTATGTCGATGATGTTTTGCATGGAAGACCCAGTCATTTGGGGAGATATAAAGGTCACAAAGGGACAGTAGAGAATGGAGCATAGTGTGCTTGTCATAGTCTTATAGAACATTTTAAAATCATGTTCCGTTTATAACTTTCTTCATGCCTGATATGATTTCATCAGTAGTTAGTACGCATGATATAGGGTTGGATCTAGGATTCCCTGGAGTAAGAGTTGACGAATGCAAGTGGCCAACAATTACACGAAATGGCACCAAAAGAAAGAACAATGCTTCTTTATTTATTTAATCCTCTAAAGTATCTTTTGGCTTTGTGCACAAAAAATAAACGCATAAATAATGAAAATGCGTCCAATTCATCACCCAGGTTATGAACCTTGTGGAAGCATTTTCCTACAAGAATACCCAATCTATAACAACATTCATATTTTAAAGAGGCCATTGAATAGTCTACAATTGCCTCATTTTGAGGTCCATTTTTCCAGTTTAAATATATAAAAAAACATGCAGGTTTTGGATTTTTGTCCGCTCAGAACATTATAAATGAAACACTTAAGTGGAAATTCCTAGAATACTGACACCTATTCTAATGATACTCCTGACATAAGGTTATAGGATGAATCTTAAGTAAATGAATTCTTACATAAAATAGATTTGAATGAAGTATAGTGAATATCAGATAATTTAGATAAGAAGGAAATTAAAGACAATTCTAACCAAGAAACTGTTGATAACATTATGTCGGATGTTGCTTCTTTATTTATTTGATCCTCTAAAATATCTGTTGGCTTTGTGCACAAAAATAAACGCATAAATAATGAAAATTCGTCCGATTCATCAGCGAGGTTATGAACGAAAATGTATACCTCTAAGGCTTGATATCTTTACAAGCTACGAACATCAAAAAAATATAAATAAAACTTTAAAGTATAAAGAAACAATGAAACTTTTTTTATGATAAATCTAAAAATAAAAACATAGAAAAATTAAGAAAAGTAAAACATTTTGCCCCTAAAAATTTTGGAAAATTTTGAACGGTAACAACAGTGAACTAGTGTAGCATGATAAGGATGAATTGTATTCCTTTTTCAAAGATAATTATTTTGCAAACAATATTAACGATTAAATACCAGAGGTTCACAATCAAACGCAAAATTCAAAAATTAATGAACCTATTAACTGTCCAATAACTAAAGAAGAAATATCAAGAGCAGTCAAATATCTAGAACATAACAAAGCATATGGAATTGGTAATATTGAAAATGAAGACAACATATTAAATACTCGTACCATATCTTTAAAAACGTTAAGTATTACCTTAAACTATTCACTTTGGCACAATCTTGGAACCAAGAAATATTTGACTCGTACGAGGAGTGTTCAAATATGAATGCAACTTGGTCAATTTTCAGAAGTGCTTAAAGCTGCACGCCTCCAGATGAGCATAAATATTTCAAGAAAATGAAAATTGAGAAAAGTGTACTAATATTTTAAGAAAGGTAAAACATTCAAGATTCATGTTTTAGTTTACATGTTTTTTTTTTCGATTTAAGACCGATTTTGCAGTATTTTATCACCACGTTTCTACTGCGTTACTAACGCAGTAAGGGCTGACTTTTGCATATTTTGACCTTTCTGGTTAATTGCATGGATTGTAAGTGCCGAGTGAAATATGTGAAGAACTTTATTTGTTCACCTCACAATATTTTACTTCCAAATACATTTTCAAAATTTTCGTGAAAATTAACATGAATCTGGAGGCGTGCTGCTTTAACAAACAGTGCTGAATTAGAATTAATTATATCAATCCTTCAAAATACGTACCACCATGTGATATACAAAGTTGTAATCTTTTAATCCAATTTTTAAATGCGTTTTCATTAACCCCTTCGAGGTATGTTCAGGCACTTGAAAAAAGCTGCATGAACTGATATTTTTTTGCGTTTGATATTAACTTTCAGCAAGGGATTTTTGAGCCTTGGAAATAGGAAAAAGTCAGAACGGACAAGATCTGGCGGAAAAGGAGGGCTAGGAAGCTCGATAACCTTTTCCCGTGTCAGATATTCTCGTACAATAGCCGCTTTGTGTGACAAAGCATAGTCATGCAACAACCTAACACCACAGAGGTCAGTTGCTGGTCGACGGCTTTTTAAATATTTCTTTAATTTATGAAGAACCTTGCCTTCATAAACTTAGCATTTACAGATTTACCCTTTGATACGGCAATTTGAATATTATGACCTTGATTGATAAAGAAAATTACATACATGAATTTTGTGACGCTTACAGTGCGTTTTTCTATGCAAGGTCTTTGACTTTCTTTGCTTGTCCATATTTTGTTATGTATCTTTCACTTGGGCTCATAAAAGTGAACCTTGTGTTGATCTAGGGAACTGTTTCAACAATTGTCTGAAGATTACTACCCGAGAAAGTTTTTGCTCTTTTGTAAGGGGATGGGGTATCCATTCGGCATTTATCATTCTCATTCTTAAAACACGTCTTAGATTTTTATGAGCGCCTCCTCAGAGATACCAATGCATTTAACTATATACCTGGTTATAAATCATGCATAAGTAGCAATCAAATCCTTTATTTTTGATGTTGCAGTTTTCGGACGGCGTGCATAACCTGCATCTTTTACTGTGCATCGACACTTTCGAGAAAGTTTCTTGTTCCCATAAACACGACATATTTCATGAGATATGTTTTCGACTTTATACCAAGAATACAGCTGTTCTTGATATAGGACCGTATTTGGTGGGTGAAAGGAGACGTTTTCCCAACCATTAAAGCGAGATATTGGCCGAGTTGCATTTATATTTGAACACACCACGTATAATTCAATTCATAAGTAGAAATGGGACATATCCAAAGCTAAAAATTTTTTTTTTAAGTGAAATTATTTACTTGCATTATTAATAAAAGATTGACATATAACGGTGGATCAAATGATCGTTTATATGTTCATTCCCCATCATTTAATTCAAAATATTAATGACAATGGAAAGAAATTATATTTCGCTTTTGATACTGTTTGGCGAGATTGTCTTTTGAAAGAAACTATGTAATTCTAATAAATATGGAAAATGTGTTTCAGCTTTATAAACATGGGCAGTGGCATGATATTGGTGTAAGGTAAGGCGAAAATCTTTCGCCGTTGCTATTTTCGCTTTATCTAATGCTTTGCGCCATTTTTTCGGTCACAATATGAATAATCAAAGCACAGAAGGCGCTGAATTTGTTTGGGTCTCAGAATGTAAGAAAGGCGCAGGTTGTGAGATTATATGTATAGTGTCATCAATGCTTTCAAGCGTTTTAATTGTAGTAAATTGGCTATAAGACTAATTGCAACACTGATATTCCATCCAATGTTTATTTGACTTTA